GTGTTGGGGGGGGGGGGGGGGGAAATACCGCCAGGCCTTAAAAAGAACACATTAATACAGAAGGTCCTGAGCCACTGTGCTGCTCCACAAATTATAGGGACGCAGTTCATCAATACAGGAATTACATACCTTTAAGGGAAATTTTTTCTTATACTGTTCAACATGAACAAAGGAGTTGATAACCCCGTGGATTACTTTTTGATTTGGGTTTTCCCCACATCGGTCACTAGAGGGAAGAAAACAAAGCCATGAAAATAGCGTATTCAAAACCCGAGGAGTTAAACAAAAATAAGCTAGGTAACAAACACAACTTTTTCTTGCTTTAAATAAAATTGTTAGCAATTCACACCAGGAAGCCAAGCTGTTGCCTAAAACTAGACAGACAACTGGAAGGAATATTAAAAAATTCAGATTTGTGAAGCAGAAAGTTACTGCACGGATGAACAAATAAAGAAGTGTAACCAGTACTTCTCAAAAATGACAACTTAAAAGTATATCTAAAGCCCTAACTTTTTTTTTTTTATTTATCACTTATGGATAACGAGGGTAAGGGGTTAGAACCTCTGTCAGGTTTTTAAGATCAAGAGAAAAATGGAGCACCAACACAAACTATTTAAAAAGGCTGTTTTCAGAAGAACTGAGGTGAGTGATTTACACTCATCCTCATAGTTAGAGCCGACGTGTGACATTGAAACTGTCACACCTCGACTCTATTGGTCGGGAAGTGAGAGAACACATAGCGTCCCTCGCCCCCGATCATCACTTCCCAATCATCTCGCTGCAGCGAGCGGTGACCATCAGTCACAGCTCCCCGCAGGGATTCCTCCCCTCCACGATCCTTCAGCGCTGAATGGAGGAACAGACGGTGAGGGGGCCGGCACAGCTGGCTCTGCCTCTAGATAGGCAGAGCCAGCTGTCAATCAGCCAGCTGGTGGATGAATCTCGACAGGATTGTCGGGATCCGTCCTGGCTGCGGCCATCTTAGTATATAGTGAGCTATAGCTCGCTATATACGGAGCTTTAGGTCACGTAAGGAGGTTAGTATATGTTCTCCTGTTACCCCAAAGAGAACTATGGGATAAAAAGGTTACTCCATAGTTCTCCCATAAGAGCAATTGATTGTCTTTTATGAGTAGTTGAAAGTCGACACGTTTCGGGGTTAAAGTGTAATTCCAGTGATCTGGTCACAATAGCGGATAACACAATCCTGGAGAAGTGACAGAAGGCCCTAAAAACTGAAGGTCTCTATAAGCTATACTAAAGATACTGTGATTTTAGATCAGAAACAGCACGTATATGTGGATCTCTTTTGTTCCCTTTAAAATACTTTATCTTTGCAAAAACAAAACAAAAAAACCCCACTAACTGCTAGAATCTAGAAAAATAGGATTTTGTACTCACCGTAAAATCCTTTTCTCTCCGTTCATTGAAGGACACAGGCAACAGATCGTAGATCCTGAATGGTAGGGTAATATCGCAACCTGCAGGAGAAGGACGCTAGGCACAAAAACTAAAGACCAATTATTTGCCGGCGCGTCTGGCAGACTTTGGCTGCCACGGACGCTGGGAGGATTGGGAAGAGGAGGGTTTGTTAAACTTACCGCCCTTGGCTTCCGGCGCTGTTCCTTCTTGCGCGCCTGGGGGAAGAAGGTACTCTTACCCCCGTGAGATCCTTAATGATCTCATCCAAGGTGGAACCAAACAGACGGTCCCCAGTAAAGGGCAGTTCCTGAAGAGCCTACTCGGAAGCCTGGTCTGCCGACCAGCACTGAAGCCAGAGCAAACGGCGAAGCGCCACCGCTGACATCGACACCAAGGGCGCCGCATCCAAGCCGAATCACAGACATAACGCAGGCCCAGCACCAACTGGTCCACCATTCCACAAAGGCGGGGGAGACGTTCTCCTCCGCAAGACCCTGACGTAACATTTTAGCCCACTCAGTTAGAGTCGAGAGACCAAAGCCGAAGCCAAGACCGGACGCATGAGAGCGCCGGAGACAGAGTACAGGGACCGCAAAAGCGCCTCAGCCTTCCTATCGGAAGGATCCTTAAAGAACGGAGAATCCTCCACCGGGATAATCGTGGCCTCGTTTAAATGAGAGACCGGCGGGTCCACCACCGGTGGCGAAGACCACTTAGACACAAAATCCTCCTCAAAAGGATAGCGAACCGAGAACCGTTTCGGAACCGCAGAGGACTTAGTAGGCCGTTCCCACCCCTCAGAAATGAAATCATCAAACAAAGGGATGTAAGGAAACACCGTGACAGAACGCAGACACACATGCGGCCCAAACTGCACGTGCGACAGCGTGGAAGTGCTGGCAATGTCCTCCATTTTAAGGGTCTCCCTGACAGCGCGGACTTTGTGCCTAGCGTCCTTCTCCTGCAGGTGGCGATATTACCCTACCATTCAGGATCTACGATATGTTGCCTGTGTCCTTCAATGAACGGGAGAGAAATTTCTATGGTTAACAGTTTATTTGTGTCACCAGATATTTAATGACAGAGGTTAATGATATGTACAATTAATTATAGCACAGGGAAGAACATCACACCTTAAACTCCTACACAACTTTTCATCAATATGATATTTTTCTTGTTCTTTAATGGAAAACCACGCTATATTTCAGTTTTAGCTACAAATGGGAATGTGCTCATTTAAAAGCAAACCTGTATATCCATTTTAAACTTTTAAAAGTAGAAGTCCTACCAGGAGCAAACCCCAAACAAACAATGTTTGTTATTATTCTAATAGCCAGAAAAGCGTTTTCTGTGTCCCTCTCTGATTTAATGTCACATTTCTGGTACTGGGGCCTGACTTCATGGCTAAGCTCTGCCACCCTTCTGCCCAATAAGAGAGCCTATACTAGCCACTAAGGCATTCTCTTCAAGAGGTGTGTGTTATTTAGCTTTTACATTGGATTAAAAGTACTTACCTTTTAATCTCTTTAAGAAGCATTCGGAGGACAGTGCCCTGCAGTGGTTCAATCATTAATTTCCTCCATAGATCAAGTGCTAACTGCAAAATATAAGATCATATTAATCTAACTGGATAACTTTCACAACAAAAACATTTCTTCTATAAATCACTATTAACAGAACAAGCTTGTATTAGTCACACTTCTGTAAAGACATTGTTCATTTTATTACACAGTCCACGTTACAAAGAATAAGTGTATTAATAAAAAGTCACAAAATTGTGAAAACAAAAACCTTGACAGATAATCTGGTTTAAATAAAATCTATTGAAAGTGGAAAATCGTTAATGCACAAGAAAACACAAACCGGAAACAACATTTTTAAACCCCCCCCAAAAAAAGGCCCTTAAACTGAGGAGCGAAGGGAGAGCTATCCTCCCTCCTTGGAAGCTGGGAAATAAAACAAGCTCTCTAGCAGAGGTAGAGTTCAGCCACTCATTGGCATATCCCCCTAGATTGCTTTTGTTTAGTGCACCTACTGCCCCCCTCCCCCCTCCTTCAGTTGGCAACATAAACCCAGAAGTCTTATGACTCCAGATGTGTCTCTCAAACAATAGAGTATAATATTTCTATCCGGGTTTGATGAAAGACTGACCCTCACTGCTGATCAGCACGTGTGGCCCCTGCAGTGCCTCCGGTGGCTTGCCGTTTTGCCTTCACTGGAAATTGTTGAAATTTAAGTGGTATCGAGGGCACCCAAAAAAAAGAGAAGCTTGGGGGGGTGGGGTTCTGGGGAGCATGAATTTGCACTATAGAGTAACTAGTTTTTTAAGCATCAAAACTAATGAGAAGATCCACAGGTACCCAAAAACTGTCGGCACTTGTATTTTTATGTACCTGATCCTATACGGGACTTTACTTCCTGCCAAAACTGCCATGGAAACATCCTTTAACCCAAATATGTAGAATTGGTACTGTAACCCAACAGACAGACTACAATACCAAAACTGAACCTAAATAAAATAAAACTGAATATATATATATCTCAATACTGCAGTGAGGAAATGATAAAGACCTCTTTATATTGTTTGATGGAGGGGTGACTACTGTGTGCTGGTGACTGCCATCAGGGAAATCAAACATACTAAAAATACAAAACTGTGTACATTTAAGAGATCACAGGTAGGTGAAAACAAAATAATAAGACAATCTCAAACTGGGACACATGTATCCATCTACTGGTAGGAAAGCCAGGCCCTACACCTTCCCAGCATGTATGTCACCATGTGATATCCTACACCAGAAATAAATCATATCATATCATTTTTTTAAAAGAGAATGGTGTCATGAATATAGGTGGAGTGATGCTATGCAGTCAACAAATGCAGAACTGGAAAATGATGTCACTCCACCATGGTGGCTTTTGCCTGTGAACTGCCAAAGTGGAACCCATATCTGAATTAAATGCTGCATGACACTACATATACATCGGTCAGAAATGTCCTCAGATGAAAATGCAGCCTGGAGGCACTTTCATTTATTGGGCCTTCTGTCTTTTTACTACAACAGACAGCATAATAAACCACAGTCTATAGGAATACTCACTTCTCCTATCTCCATCAGCGGCTCATTCATATCCACACCTCCGTAGCCATACTGAAGGTCAGCTTCTGTTAGCTTGTTCTTTTTAATAAACTGTGTGTTGAGGTACCTGCAGAAGTGGAGGAATCACTATTAGCAATGAGAATTGGCTTTGCTGCAAACCTCAGAGCAGCAGCTGCTCATTATTTTTGCAGATGGGCACAGTGCCTCTCAGAGGCCTCTAATGTATTGCTGGGCCAAACACACGGCATGTGCATCACAGGATAAGACATGGAGACGATGAGCAGTGTGACACAGATGTACGCAGAGCTTCTACCATTCAAGTACTCTTCCAGCGGCAGATTCTAAAGCTAATGAAATGGAAATGAATCCCCTAAAATAATAAAAATAAGTCTGAGCTGAACGGCATGTGCTATATTACAGGAGAATTATGGAGAGAGTGAAGTACCCGAATCCCAATAATTAGAGCCAACGTGACACTGAATCTGTCACCCGCCTGTTCTATAGATCAAGAACCGAGTGATCACATACAACAGATCGCTCAGTTCCTGATCTTCTCCCTGCAGGGATTTCCCCCTCTCCGTTCCTCCACCCCTGACTGGAGGGACTGACCGAGGAGGGGGCGGGCACAACTGGCTCTGCCTCTAGATAGGCAGAGCCAGCTGTCAATCAGGTGGCAGGGTGTATGACGACAATATTGTTGCGATCTTTCCTGGCTGCAGCGCGGCTCTGTGCGGTCAGCATTGCCTACGATATGCTGAGCTTTGGTTGACAGGAGGACATAGTAAATGTCCTCCTGTGACCCTACAGAGAACTATGGCCTAAAAAGGTTGGGCCAAAAGTTATCTATTAAAGAAGAACTCTGGGCATATGAAATCTTAACCCTTCAAGTGGAGCTACCCCCGCACTGCAAGGGTTAAGTGCTTGTTTTTTTTTTTCTAGGGAGCTAAAATAACAAAAAGACATATTCACCCAAACCTCAGAACCAGCCGTCTGCTAGAGTGGTTCCCCTGCAGCCTTGCTTCCCCTCTGCTCCGGCAGTCTAAGAACCCATGAGTGATCATATCTAATACAGTGTATTTGATGTGAGGACGTCGAGGGACATTACACCATTGAAGCGTAGGGGGAACAAAGCTGCAGGGACTGGTCTAGCAACCAGCTGGTTTGGAGGTACGTATGGGTGAGTATATATTTGTTATTTTAGCCCCTTAGACAAAAAAAAAAAAAAGCACTTAACCCTTGCAATGCAGGGGTAGCCTACTGCAATGGTTAAGATGTCAAATGCCCAGAGTTCTTCTTTATTTGAACATACATATATACTTTTTTTTACATTCATTTAGATTTTTATAGGATCATACATGTAGTTTGTCTGTCATGTATGAGCATTAATCTCTTTCTATGTAAATCTACTACTTAGGCCTGACTGACTGTAACCAATGTACTTTAAACCTGGCAGAGAATTTAAAAGAGAACTATGGGGTTACCTTTTTATCCCATAGTTCTCGTTAGGGTCACAGGAGGACATATACTAACCTCCTACCCGTGACCCAAAGCTCAGTATATAGCGGGCTATTGCACACGAAATACTGAGAGCGCCGCAGCCAGAACGGATCCCGACAATACGTTGAGATCCGCCCATCTAGCTGACTGACAACGGGCGCTGCCTATCTAGAGGCAGAGCCAGCTGTGCCCGCCCCCTCCCCGGTCTGTTCCTCCAATCAGCACTGGAGGATCGGAGAGGGGGGAATTCCTGTGGGGAGTGGTGACTGATAAGTCACTGCAGGGAGATGATCGGGAAGTGAGCGTGCAACAGTATGTGTTCGCTCACTTCTCGATCAATGGAGCTAACGTGTGACAATTTCAATGTCACATGTCGGCTCTAACTATGAAGATGAGTGTAAATCACTCACCACAAAGTTCTCCTTTAACTGCTCAATCTCTGTATCTTGCATTATTAAAGATTGCTATTAGGTGTAACAAATACATACAAAAATACATAAAAATATCCTAAAAGCAAGTCATACAATAATAACTATATTTACACTATACACTGAGTGGCCAGATTATTATCACCACCCCATCAGTACTTCATTGGGCCACGAGATAACTTCGTTGGGCCGCCTCGTGACTCCACGAGATGTTGAAAGGTGATGCGAGGAATCTGACACTGCACTGTTGCACTGTACCAGTCTTGCCACTCTCCGTTCTGCCCTAACATTGACTAGACGCTGACGGCCACAATTCGCACGTTCAGACCCAGATTTTCGGCTGACAGTCCAGTCTTTAAACACTTTAACAACAGCTGCTCTTGAACATTTAAGGAATTCTGCTGTTTTGCTGATACTCGCTCCATGGCTCCGAGCGCCAACAATCATCCCACGTTCAAAGGCTGTTAAATCGCGTTGTTTACCCATATCTTCAGAAACAAATCACTTCTACTGTCGTGGTAAACAACCTGCTTCCCTATTTATAAAGGTCTGGCCCTCTAGCAACTTCAGCGCCAAATTATAGCTAATTTGCCTACAAACGTCAGGTGGTCATAATAATCTGGCCACTCAGTGTAGTATTCCTACTACATCCAAAACATTTTAAGTTTGGACAGAGCAGGGCATGGTCAGAAACCGCAAGATTTCTTCTTTTTTTTTTTTTATATACCACGTGTTCCATTGAAGAGATTTGCCTAGACTTCCAGTCCATGGACAAAGCAGGAAGAGAAATGAAATCTCTCCAAAGGGAAAATCCCCTCAGAGATGTCAGTGAAGCAGGTGGCTCATAGTGAAAGCTTTCCCATTACCTACTGTTTTGGTGGCAACTGCAAACAATTTGGATTTCCTTTCACTATTGTCTCAGTTACAATGGCCAACAGAACAAATAGACAAGGTAAACCTCTGGGACACAGACAACAATACATACTTGACAGAAGCACCTTGGAATGGGGTAAGGTGCTAAAATAAAAGGCATTCAGAGCTATAGACGGTGACAATTAGGAAAATAGGAGTTTTGGCTTACCAGCAATATCAGTTTCTTGGAGTACAGTACTGTACAGGACACAGGCAAATTCAGAGGTGACTGGGTAATATGCAGGTATTATCAGATGATTGGACACTGGCCAGAGCTGAGGACCCTCATAAAAACCCTCCTACTCCAGGAAATCCTCAGCTTCTTTTTTTTACAAGTTGGAGTGGAAATGAGTGTATGGTATCGCCTTGAAGGAGGCCACCATCAGACCTCAGACCCTAATGCAGAAACTCACCAAGGGCTGGTCCTTGGCTTGAGGGTTCTGCAACTGCAAACACAGAGACCAAATTTTCTGTGGAGTAAAAAACACCCTGGCCTGATTGGCAACCCAGCTAAAACACTGCAGTGTTTAAATTCTCCTGTGGACATATGAACTCAGGACTTGCTCTGACCGTGCCTTCGGTAGAAGACTGTCCCAATATTCCACTACATGGAAACCTGGAGAATGCAGCAGTGCAAGAACAGGGGATAGTGCTTTGTGAACACTCGAGGGGTCATGGAAAGGGCAATCGGAAGTGCCACAAATTAAAAATGATAAGGCCCTCTGTAGAGCATCCTTCCACTGTGGGGAAGAGGGAAGATTGGAGGACATAAACCAAGAAGAAGAAGATTAGGATAACAGCTCCAGCTTTTAACTGTGGGAGACTATGGAGTGTACCCACAGATTCTGGAGATCTCAACTCCAAATGGATGCCAAGGCCAGCAGATGTCTCCCAATTGAGAAAATTGAGGCTTCACCTCATTGTGAAGGGGACATGGTGGCAGACTTGGAAGGTTCAGGTTCTTGGGCTAATGCTAAAACTGGGATCCCAGTTTAAGGCTGGGAGAGACAAAAGAAGCCCTTTCTGGCTGAAGCCAAGGAAGACTTCATGAAGGAAACCTTAAGGTGGCCATACACTTTACAACCATCGCAAGACCTTAGTCTTGCGATGGTTGTAAAGTAATTTTTAAAAAAAGGTACGATCTGCCCATCTTGGACAGGCAGATCGTACTCTCGATCATCGCAAGCCCGCCCCCGAGGGGCGGGCTTCCGATGACCGCAATGCTGAACGGGCAGTGTGCGCATGCGCACACCGGCCCGTTCAGCATTTGTCTCCCGAGCACCGTTCAAACCAGCCGAAAATTGTACGATTTTCGGCTGGTTTTCTAGCGTGCTCCTTAGACAAAAGACGTGCGACCGTACAGTAGAAACGGTCGCACGTCTTCGTTCACACTACTCGATCGTCGTACGATCGCGGGATTTCCCGCGATTCTCGTACAAGAATCGAGCAGTGTATGGGCACCTTTACATTTCCATTTTCTGTATAATAGAGTGCTCTTGCTCCCCAGTAACCTTTTTAATAGAGGTGTCTAATTCTTCTCCAAAAAGGCTTTCTCCTGCAAAGGGAATCCTTTCCATGCAGTTCTTGCAGACCAGTTACACAGACCAATACTTAAGCCACAGGAGTCTACAAAACTGCACAGACAGCAATACCAGCCTAGACAGCTGATGCAAATGTCAGCTAGGCTGTCCACACAGTAGCACAGGGGTACTGGCAAAACCTCCAGTCACCAAATCTTAGGGTCCATAGAGATAGAGTTAGGATGCCTAGCCATGTGTTTCCTCCAGGACGCTAGGGTTTGACATACCACCATGGAAAAAAAAAAAGGTTGGTGCGACCAGCAAAGGTTGCCTTAAACAAGGTTTCCAGGTGTTCATCCACCGAGTCCCTAAAGGCCGGAACATCATCCACTGGAACAGAGTGCGTAGGAAAGTTCTTAGTGGGCTTTTATTTCTTAAGTGAAGCCATACTAGTGACTTTGGGTCAATACTTTACAGGTGAAGCAATGGGTATGAATTCTCTAATCTCATGAACAGGTAGTGAAATGGTGTCATGTAGTTCCAGGGGCAGGGTCACAGTAATCAAATCCTCCTGAAAGGAAATTTTTCAGTCTTAGGAGTTACACACCTCTACTTCTACACCCCCTTTCTCCTCATCATCTGGCAATAGGGCAGTAGCCATGGCTGGTCTGAAACTGTTAAGAAGGCAAAGGAGGAGAAGGTGGACTACGCTTGCGCCCTCTGTGGCCTGATGCTGCAAACCCAGCAGATGTCTATCCCAGAAAAGCATTCATCAAGACCCAAACATCTTCCTGACCAAGACAGGAAGAGTGGGATAACCCTGTGGGGGTAAAGATGCATTACAAGAGGGCAGGAAGAGCGACAGCGGGATAACACATCTACCAATGTGTAGCAGAGTCCCTGGGGAAAACCTCAGGAAACCGCTTGCTACCATTAGCAGTAGTATTGCTGGCTATCCCTTTTCCTCCTGTCCCTTTGTGTTGGATGTCTGCCATGGTGAAAAGCCCCAACAGGTACTGACAATACTTAAAGCAAAAGGTTAAAGGGGGCCCCCCTGTCTGGTCTCTGTTGTCCCTGACAATGCTGACAATAGTACTGCTGCAAATCGTGTCAGATGCCAAGAAGGTCAGTGTGCTCCCTCCATGTGGCAACGATGGCAGCTGAAGCTCCCGATTCCCCTGCTGTTATAGGGGGGAGTATCAAGATGGCCACTGTATCAGCCTCCATACATTAACAGGGCAGCCTGGTGTACCAAAATGCCTACCAGTGGCATACACTGAGCATGCTGCAGTGACAGGACACCCCCCCATCCTCCCCATCTCAAAGCTGTCTGTGGCAATGCCCCTGCTGGAGAATGCAGGCAGGAGAAGGCAAATGTTGTGATATGGAATGGATATGGGGGGTCAAATCAAAAACATTGCAAACAAAACTTTGTGTGTTGGATGCTTTTTAAAGGTCCATTGTCTCCCTCACTTTGGATGAGTGTACCCCCAAAGGAGTTGTCAGGGTCACAGCAGATACGCCACTGCTCTGGACCTTTATGCACCCTTTGGTTAACCCAACGCACTGGACCACATGCCAATGTGGCCATCTAAATGCAGAATCCAGTGCCCAAAGCTACAGGCAAATCTTCAGACCTCTAGGGTCCGGGTACGGTTCTTGAAGCTATTGCCATGGGGCACCAATCCGAAAGTTGCAAGGTTGCCACCATAGCAAGATACTGCAGAAAAAAAAGGTACCTAAAACTACCACATCTCCCTCATTAGAGAGGAGACATCCATAACCTAAGGACACTAGCAAAAAACTGAGGATTTTCTGGAGTGGAAGGGGTGCATACCCAGTCATCTCTGAATGTGCCTGTGTTATGTACTGTATGATCAACAAAGAAAAGGTAACATTTTCTGATGTAAGTTTTCTGCCATATCTCCAAAATGCAACAAATTAAAAAGGTTCCAATAGTGGTAAAGGTATAATGTGGGAGGCCACTGAGTTCCAAACTAATTTACCTATATAAACAGTCCATGTAGTCCGCTCCTCGACTGTATTCCTCCCAGAACTTGTGATATACTACCAGAACTTGTTCAGCTGAATCCAACACTTTCTAAAAAACATAAAGCAAACAAGTCTGGTGAGGAAAAACACTGCTCGTCAAACACTTCTAAGAAACACTAGGCGCCGTCTTCCTTTCCTTTTATTTCACAAATGACAATGGTAGCAATTCACAAAGCGTTAATAATCTTAATTTCCAGCTGTTATTTTCAGATCTTATTAGCTCCAGCTAAAAATAACAGTCACTTTTTTGGAAGCAAAGTCTAATCTTGGTGTGTTGGCTTTGTGAATTGAGCCTATTGTCATAAAAAATGATTTTGGGGGAACATTTGGTAAATATAACCTATTACTGAAATGTGTGTGTGATACCTAGTCAAGTCACAATACTGTCAAGATAGAAATACTGGGAGCTGCCACTGCTGAGCTCTGTGAAGGTCAATGGCTGTCCTATGTCTCCGTGTTTGAATAAATAAAGAGACACTGCCACTTTGCCATTTAGGGCAAAATGGCAGCGACTGTGTAAAGCTGCACCCTCCAATACTCAGCTCTTCAGCCATCCTCCGCCGCTCTTTCCTCTGAAGCAGCAAAATTCTCAGTGGTTCCAGGTATGGGGAAGAATGAGACCCCCTCCCAAGATGCAGTGCTTAGCCACATGGTTACATGATGGAGGATGCTCTGACACCACCACACAGCAAGTATTTTGTTGGTAGTTGTGATCGAAGAAGGAGCAAGGAAGGTGGGTATGGGTGGGTCAGTGGGAAGCAGTTTTACACTCACTCACTTTGCCCTTGATGTAAAGTGGTATTTAATCCAAACCTTTTGTCCATTTTGGATGCAGTGTTCAGGAAAATGAGAACACATATTGCCAATGGGGCAGAGACAGTAACCACAATTTACATAAAACTTGCTCAGTTTATGAATTGCTATATACTTGTCCCACAGTTGTTTAGCATTAGGGTCTACACTTTACAGAGGTGCCTTTATGCAGCAGTATGCTTTCACATGCATTTGCAAATGTATGCATCAAAAGCTGTAGGGACATGTTGGCTTTTTTTTTTGTGCTAACTAGCTGAAAAGTGCCCGAGATGTAGAAAGTCAGCAGGTGATTCAGCAAGCATCCTCTCTAAACTCAACAAGGAGTTTTCAACATGCTGGAAAATGTCTGCAGGCAATAATGAGCACTTTTATCATTTTGGCTAATCTACCACAACATGGCCCTTTATGCTCCTATCAGTTACATTGTTAATAAAAATTGGAAGATGATTGGCAGGGCACTAAACTCGCTGACCTTAGCATTTGATGGATTAGTAGGAAGAGGGTTCTCCTCTAGAAATCACTTTAATTACTATGGGCGATAACATAGTTGTAGCCTTCTGCTCTGCATATGGTAAACTTTTATGGAAGCATGAGAAAAGACGTAAACACCTAATAGCTAAATAAGAAAATGACATGTTTTGATTCCAGGATCTCGCATGCATGGCCTTACCACGTGCAACTGTAGAACATGATTTTCCAGGAAGGTTTTGGTTTCTAAGTATAGTTTTTCCCCAAGTGGTTCTGGATAGGCAACGCACAGTGCATAAATATCTCTGGATACACATGTTAAAGATGCAAATTGAAAAACAGACCATCAAAACAAAAACCAGTAGAGAACAGATTGTGATTTCTATGGGTTACTGTATATAAGGCCATATATTTTTAACAGCCCATCATATTATACTGTGTAGGGTGATTAGGTCTCATCTTGCTTGTTTGTTGCCTGCATAGTCATTACAGTAATAAAATGTGATCTGGTCATTTAGTTGTATTAAAGTTAGAAGATATATATTCCAACATTTCTGAAACATTAAATACAAGGGACCTTATGTGTCAAGAGGAAATAAATGCAGTTTTACAACTGTATGCTTAAAAGCAGACAGACATACGGTGACACAAGTCCATCTCTCACACATGCCACCTTGTAAACAACTCTTACTGAGCTCAAATAGTAAGGAAGTATCGTGGTAGCCAAAGGGTACCTGCTTTTCACCACCGCTGGAGGCCTGCCAAAAACGTATGTGTGACTTATGACTTCATAAAAGCCAACAGTTATACAGGACTAACAATGATTGGGCCTAGTGACTGGATGCTTAGGAACCAAGTGCAGAAATGTGGCAGGCTGGGGAAGAAGCCATGTGCTCATCTATATCTGGATACATACCAGAGTTTCAGCAGCAGAGGGTGCTGGAAAGGCAAGATCTTATAGTGCCTGCTACCACACTGCTGCTTTGATTTTGTTAGATGCTCTGGTACCCATAATGACTGAACACTTGACTCAAAGCCTAGGCAGTCCTAAAGCCTAGATAGTGATCATGTGATCACTGCTGATGGGTAGGCTCTGCCTGAACTCTTAATCATATAAAACAGAGAGCTTGTGACCGATGATTAGGCTTTTGATCACCTAACTTTCAAACATCTGATCTAAAAAAAAAAGAAGCAATTTCTGCAACCAAAAGGCAAGTCGTTCCTCCTGAAGCATTCATAACTTTAGGTAGAAGGATCTTGTTGTGAAGCATTTTTATGCACCCATAAAGAGGTCTGCACTGAAGTGAGCCCCTTAGTGCTGTGTAAACTCATGTAAAAGACAGGTTTCTTTTAACTTCATTTTTTTTCTCTAATTTAAAATGTTCTGCAATTCTGATGCTGCATGAGTGGAGCTGAGCAAAAAGTCCGTCCGATATCCCTGTATGCACTGCATCTCCTCTGGGGCTGCTGGGTGCTGTACTGAAAACCGGTGGCACATACAATCAGGTTAGGTAGATTACTGCAGCAGATAGGTTCTCTCCTTATGGATACATCAACCACAACAAGGAGCACAAATTGAAAAAAATGTGTGGCCAGCAAGTCACATTAAAGCAGAGAAGCAAACAAAAGGGAGCAAGAATGGTAATTAAATAAAACAAAGGAAATAAAGAGGGGGGTAAAAAAGAAAAGTTACAGAAAAAACCTCAGAGACAACTACAAGATTTACAGGTGCCAGCAACAAACTGTAGCCAGTAGAGCTGAAATGGCAGTAGTAACATTTGTGATCACTTGGAGAAGGGAAGTCATCCAGTATGAGACACTCAAAGGCCGAGCAGTAGCAGACTGATGTTACACTGAGAAGCTGGGATAAGCCTGCTGCTGGAGCACAGCCAGGGACGTTATTGGGATGTCTAACCACAGACGCATTTGGTTAAGTCCACACATATGCGCTTGGTCCTTTAGCATCCATAAAATCTGCTATTATTGCAGGAGGAAAGTGTTTACAAGAATGTCAGAAAATAAACAATGAATGCACTTTGCCAGACTATACATCAGAACGCTGTCACTTGGCAACAACTAGTTAAAAGGACTGGTTCACCCATAATTGGTACACAGTACATGCCAGTAACATAAACTAGCCCAACTGGCTTCTTACATTAGCTGGGGGTCACTGAAAACAATATCACAACACCTGGATTAACAACCCACACACTGCAGCCATCAGAAGGTGGCTCAATTTTTCATCTGGAGTACGCGGTCCAGTTTTGGTCAGCAATCCACAGAAAGGATGTTAAGCTATGAGACAAGGCTACTAAATTTAAACTTGTTCACGTTAGAAGTGAGAAGACATGATTTTGATGTACAAAATGTTTAGTGGTGATGGCAACATCTGCAATAAACTTTTTACTGTAAACTCCGTAACAAAGACTAGAGGCCCCCACCTAAAACTGGTGGAGAAAAGATTTAACCATGTTTCTTTTAACTTCATTTTTTTTCTCTAATTTAAAATGTTCTGCAATTCTGATGCTGCATGAGTGGAGCTGAGCAAAAAGTCCGTCCGATATCCCTGTATGCACTGCATCTCCTCTGGGGCTGCTGGGTGCTGTACTGAAAACCGGTGGCACATACAATCAGGTTAGGTAGATTACTGCAGCAGATAGGTTCTCTCCTTATGGATACATCAACCACAACAAGGAGCACAAATTGAAAAAAATGTGTGGCCAGCAAGTCACATTAAAGCAGAGAAGCAAACAAAAGGGAGCAAGAATGGTAATTAAATAAAACAAAGGAAATAAAGAGGGGGGTAAAAAAGAAAAGTTACAGAAAAAACCTCAGAGACAACTACAAGATTTACAGGTGCCAGCAACAAACTGTAGCCAGTAGAGCTGAAATGGCAGTAGTAACATTTGTGATCACTTGGAGAAGGGAAGTCATCCAGTATGAGACACTCAAAGGCCGAGCAGTAGCAGACTGATGTTACACTGAGAAGCTGGGATAAGCCTGCTGCTGGAGCACAGCCAGGGACGTTATTGGGATGTCTAACCACAGACGCATTTGGTTAAGTCCACACATATGCGCTTGGTCCTTTAGCATCCATAAAATCTGCTATTATTGCAGGAGGAAAGTGTTTACAAGAATGTCAGAAAATAAACAATGAATGCACTTTGCCAGACTATACATCAGAACGCTGTCACTTGGCAACAACTAGTTAAAAGGACTGGTTCACCCATAATTGGTACACAGTACATGCCAGTAACATAAACTAGCCCAACTGGCTTCTTACATTAGCTGGGGGTCACTGAAAACAATATCACAACACCTGGATTAACAACCCACACACTGCAGCCATCAGAAGGTGGCTCAATTTTTCATCTGGAGTACGCGGTCCAGTTTTGGTCAGCAATCCACAGAAAGGATGTTAAGCTATGAGACAAGGCTACTAAATTTAAACTTGTTCACGTTAGAAGTGAGAAGACATGATTTTGATGTACAAAATGTTTAGTGGTGATGGCAACATCTGCAATAAACTTTTTACTGTAAACTCCGTAACAAAGACTAGAGGCCCCCACCTAAAACTGGTGGAGAAAAGATTTAACCACAAGGGGCGTAGGGGCTTCTTTTCAGTTAGAGCGGTTAAAATCTGGAGCTCGCTGCCACAAGCAGTGGTATCAGCAGAGTATTGAATCATTCAGATACCTTCCTCAGAGACCATAACATACAGGGGTACAGGTACTTTTAAAAACTAGCCACACAGGGATTCATATACACATACACACAAAGGTTGAACTTGATGGACCTGGGTCTTTATTCAACCTCAAAAATATGTAACTATGTAACTCTTCCAAATGTAACTGTGGTTTGACTTTAATTATGGAGAAAGGAGCAGGAACGAAGACTCACATAACTGTATCAGAAGGAGTGAAGAGTAAGCTCTTGCTGCTGAGCCCCTGAGAGATACAAAAAAACAGTAGGAACCACCACACGGGATCTAACCTCAGCTGAAATGTCAGTTTTGGGTGTACTAACCTTCAAAATAACAATAGTAAAATCAATGGTCCCTTAGAAGCTGGCTATAGTTATGGGACAGTTGTATTATGTGGTAAATCAGGTGACATCTCATCTCTACAGATGCCATAACACACTCCTGGCAGACTGACTCACAAGATAAGATTTAACTAATGGGTGAAAAAACCATGTCCAAGAATCTGTTTCCCCAGAGATGAAGTAGCACTTAGGGCTTGTTCACACCAAATGCAGACCAGATCTGCATGAGTTTCTGCACGCGCAGTGCAGTGTGTTTTGCCGCGTTTTTGACACATGCAGGACGGTTTTTGCAAAGTTTAGTTAAAAATAGGCTTTCTGTGCGTTCCAGTGTGTATGGATGCGTTTTTGATGCGTTCCAGAGCAGGTAAAATAGGCCTTGCTGCAGTTTCACACCTGGTGTGAAACTGCACCTGGTGTGAACAAGCCCTTACAATTTTGACTTCACTCTGATTTCAGGTTTTATATACTTGTTTTAGCTCAAAAACTGAATTGTGAGATGGGTATCATTTCTAGAACATTGAAAAATCAAAGCTAGTGCATTGTGGTAAGCTTACATTTTGACATGTGAGAAAATGCAAAAAGGGTGTAAACTGCATGTCAGCCACCACTATCGCTCAGACAAGTAGCATGAAATGTGGCCTAAGCATATGGCCATGTGCCTGTTTACCTTCATAGCCAAAAGAAAGTGCCTCTAATATAAAAGAAATAAATCTGCTTGTGCTTGGCCGTTTATCTAGGTGCTAAATTAGTAATGTTTCATTTAAAAAGCTGACATGATTGTTCTATTCCTTTCTTCTGAGCATCTGTTCAATAAATAGTGGGGGCACACATGGGGCACAGGCAGCAGCAGATTCAGTTTGGGAAACAAGCCTCAATAAAAGACCCCTGTATTCCTCACAATGCTTTGTCCATTCTTAGTAGGATTACAATGTTTCTAAACAAACAAACACCCGGTTGGTGGTCATTGATAGAATCCTAGAATGTTTGTATATTTCAGTCTTTCTGCTGGTTGAATATGTCTGGATACCAGGCTACAAGATAAACAATTCAATGTTGTTCAGTACCAACCCATATTTCAAAAAAGGATACGAGAATCTGTCATTCCAAGTTGCTCTTTCAACGTAATCCAGCTTGACAACAGCGTTGATTGTCAATAAAAGTTTGTTCCATGTTTCATCAAAATCCACGACTCGTGGCTTCAATGACATGGTGGGGTTTCAATGTTAAAACCTGTAACAATAATTAGAACAAAAAATGAATAACTAAATCCCAGGAGAGCAAAGTCAAAATAGCTAATTTGCCAACAGCAACATGATTTGAATTGATACAAACCGTAATGGATGAATAAAGCAGGGTTCCTGTGCTCTGGATGGTATTATCACCTATGTTTTACTGAATGTCTGTGCAACTAGAATCCTTATTGAATCATATGAACTGAGAGGAAATAAAGTACTGACACTACCACTGACCTAAAGTGGAACTGAACTCAAAAAGTGAATACGTGATATGTTATAGGAAACATTTATAGTTAATTGTGCCTAAGCAGTAGCCAGAAAAATCTACCTTGGTCTGGAAATGCACCTGAAATATAGGAGGGCACTCCCTTATATCTGAGGGTGCCTAGACGCCCAATAGTTGTATATCTGCAGCATGAGATCTCAGGCATTGCTACCTCTGTTCTCAGGAGATTTGGTTTTTCACTGCTGTGCCGATATCCGTGTTGGAGACTGACACACGGCAAAATCCTGCCTTTACCAGATGGCCATTTTACAGAAGTTAAATGTCACCTGTATTCTACAACAGGCACCGTCAGATGTCAACAACTTCACTCTAGACCACTCTGGGAGTGCTAGGACTGAATTGCTCTTGGTGCTGAAATTTCAGTGCAGAATAAGCAACTTTTGGAGCCAGATTGACAGAGCTATATGTGGATTTCAATTAATTCACAATTAGGGATAAGTGTTACCATTTAAGGGGATAAATTACATTTTCAGTTAAAAATACATAAGCAATTTGTTTTGTTTTTAGGGCGATGGTAAGGGATTCATGTAAGAGTCACCCTAAAGGTTAGGTCAAGGTTAGGAGTCAGGATATTATGGGGAAAATATTTTTTCCTACTTGCTTATGGTAACTTAAACCCTGTGCTGAAAAATACCCGTTTAACCATTATTAGGCTCATGTCAGGTCTGTTAAAAAGCAACATTATAGTCTAAGCTACTTTCCCTGAGAAAAGCGGAGTTAGCCTTTTAAGTAGTGGTTCACTTTTGGGGTGGGGTGTGAATAGACCTTCCAATAAACTTCACTTTTTTGCTCCATTTGTTCTGTTCAATACATCTTTGAAAGTGTTCTAGTATATGGTTGAGACGTTTAAAAAAAAAAGAAAGAATATAT